GGCATCACAGCTCACAGCAACCTCAGACTCCTGGGCTTAAGTGATTCTCTTGCCTCAGCCTCCCAAGTAGCTGGGACTACAGGCGCCCGCCACAATGCCGAGCTAGTTTCAATATTTTTAGTAGATACAGGGTCTCTCTCTGGCTCAGACTGGTCTCAAACTCTAGAGCTTAGGCGATCTGCCAAGTGAGATTCTGCCTCAAAAAAAAAAAAAAAAGGGCTCTCAGTGGAGTTGGTTTATATAGAAACAGCACCAAAAACTGTGGAATATAGGCTGGGCGTGATGGTTCACTCCTGTAATCCCGGCACTTGGGAGGTCGAGGCAGGTGGATTGCCTGAGCTCACAGGTTCAAGATCCGCCTGAGCCACGGCGAAACCCCTGTCTCTAAAAACAGCCGAGTGTTGAGGAGGCTGAGGCAAGAGAACCACCTGAACCCAGGACTTTGAGGAGGTTGCTGTGAGCTGTGATGCCACACCACTCTACCTAGGGTGACGTAGTGAGACTCTGTCTCAAAACAAACAAACAAAAAACCACTGTGGAATAGATGAGGGGGACGGGAGAAAGCAGGTAAGGAGGCCAGAGTACAGTTCAGCTGTGGCAGACCAGTTTGGCTTAGACCACTTACATATAAGTGATCCGTTGGTGCAATTCATGGAAAGTCCCCATTTCCAAACACTGTTGGACTGAAGAGTAGAGAGCTGAGGACGTGAAAAATAACCACAAGACCCCAACAGTGCCCTCTTATTTATTCGCATCCTCTAAGACAGGTGTTCCCATCCACTTCCTCCAACCAAACAGCAGAGGCCGCGAGAGCCGAGGGGCGCGCAGGCCGCAGTGAGGCTGGGCCGAGCGGCGCGCGGAGCCGCCGTTATGTAACCTGCGTAAGGGCCGGAAGGCCCCACCCCGTCCCGGCGGCCAGTAAGTGCCGTGCGCACCTCTCCGGAAGCTGCCGCCCCTTCCCCTTTTATGGCAGTACGTTTTTAAATAGTTCTCTGACGCCAACGCTCGACACCGGCTCAAAACCGTAACCGAGGAGCTGCGCTCCCAGTCCTTACTTCCGCTTCCTTCAAGTGCGGAGTCAGGCCTCACCCGCCTCTCTCACGCAGGAGTCGCCGGCGGCCTGCGATGTTTGGCCTCAAGAGAAACGCAGTGATCGGACTCAACCTCTACTGTGGGGGCGCCGGGCTGGGGGCTGGCAGCGGCGGCGCCACACCCCCGGGAGGGCGGCTTTTGGCTGCGGAGAAGGAGGCCGCGGCCCGGCGAGAGGCAGGGGGAGGGGAAGCCGGCGAGGTGATTGGCGGAAGCCCCGGCGCGAGTTCCCCGGCCTCCCTCACGCCAGACGCCCGGAGGGTCGCGCGGCCGCCGCCCATTGGTGCCGAAGTCCCCGACGTCACCGCGACCCCCACGAGGCTGCTGTTCTTCGCGCCCACCCTCCGTGCGGCGCCGCGGGAGGAGATGGAAGCCCCTGCCGCCGACGCCATCATGTCGCCGGAAGATGAGCTGGACGGGTACGAGCCGGAGCCTTTGGGGAAGCGGCCGGCGGTCCTGCCTTTGCTGGAGTTGGTCGGGGAGGCCAGTAACGGCCCCAGCACTGATGGGTCACTTCCTTCGACACCGCCCCCAGCAGAGGAGGAGGAGGATGAGTTATACCGGCAGTCGCTGGAGATCATCTCTCGGTACCTTCGGGAGCAGGCGACCGGTGCCAAGGACGCGAAACCAATGGGCAGGGCAGGAGCCGCCAGCAGGAAGGCGCTGGAGACCTTGCGCCGCGTTGGGGACGGGGTGCAGCGCAACCACGAGACGGCCTTCCAAGGTAAGGGGGTTGAGTAGTCGCCGAGGCCGCGCTCCCCTTTTTCGGTGTCTCCCTGGATTCAGCCACCTGGCTGGGTGGAAACTTCCCGGTTAATAAACCAGAATATTCTGGCCATGAGTCATTGTTTCCGCCCATGTTTAGTCTTTGGAAATGGCAGCACTGTTCTAAGGCCGGAAAGGGTGGGATGTCAATTTCCAAGTGGGGTCGGCCGGAGTTCCCTAGGGTCGGTATAGCGACTTCCCCCGCCGTGGGTGGGCAGGCGACTCGTGCGCCGCCTTAGACAAAAGAGGCCATGAGGACCTGCATGCTTTTCTTCTTCAGGCATGCTTCGGAAACTGGACATCAAAAACGAAGACGATGTCAAATCTTTGTCTCGAGTGATGGTCCATGTTTTCAGTGACGGCGTAACAAACTGGGGCAGGATTGTGACTCTAATTTCTTTTGGTGCCTTTGTGGCCAAACACTTGAAGAGCATAAACCAAGAAAGCTGCATCGAACCATTAGCAGAAAGTATCACAGACGTTCTTGTAAGGACAAAACGGGACTGGCTAGTCAAACAAAGAGGCTGGGTAAGTTTGACTTGAGATTGAAGGGTGCCCTGGAGTGGAAATGAAATTAAAGATTTTTTTTCGAAAAGGTGGGGGGGAGCAGCGCCTGTGGATCAAAGGAGTGGGGCACCGGCCCCGTATGCTAGAGGTGGCGGGTTCAAACCCAGCCCCGGCCAAAAACTGCAAAAAGAAAGAAAGAAAGAAAAGGTGGGAATGGGCGGTGCCTGTGGTTAAGTGGGTAGGGTGCTGGCCCCATATACTGAGGGTGGCGGGTTCAAACCAGGCCCCAGTCAAACTGCAACAACAAAAAATAGCTGGGCGATGTGGTGAGCCCTTGTGTAAAAAAAAAAAAAAAAGTAAAGGTGGGGATATCTAAAGGTTTTTATGAGGCACGACTCAAGCTCCTGGGCTCTAACTGGTGGACCTTGGTTGTTAGATGTTGATTTTAATAGTGAGTCCTTGGAGATAATGGTATTGCACTCTTGAATTGTATGGGAAATCCTGGCTTTCTCTAATCCTTTGTTGCTGTTCAGTTGAATGTTTTCAAACCAGTGGATTCAAACCACGAAGAAATGAGTCACCTGGGATCGCCAAAGTACATTCCCAAGGGGGCCTCCCTGTTTTAATTGAATAGATGGGGGGGGGGGGGTGGAGCCTGTGTTTTAAACATACCGCACAGAGGGTTTTCATACGGGATGTACACCAATGTGAGAAATACTGGCCTGTGCAGTTGAGATAATCACTTGATGGGTTTTGAGAGTAAGGGTTTTCTTCTTTTTCTTGGAAAATGGGAACTCTCAAAGTCTTTTGTTTAGATTATCCGAGTATGACCAGGGTGTTACTGTAAAATCAAGTTTTACTGTTACGAATGTTCAATTACTGAATTGAAGAACTAGAGAAATGTCTTTTTTATTTTTATTTGGCAGTCAAGAGTAAATAATAAGGGCGGCACCTGTGGCTCAGTGAGTAGGGCGCAGGTCCCGTATACCAAGGGTGGCAGGTTCAAACCCTGCCCCAGCCAAACTGCAACAAAAAAATAAACACGCGTTGTGGCGGGTGCCTGTAGTCCCAGCTGTTTGGGAGGCTGAGGCAAGAGAATCGCCTAAGCCCAGGAGTTGGAGGTTGCTAAGAGCTGTGTGATACCATGGCACTCTACTGAGGGCAATAAAGTGAGACTCTGTCTCTACAAAAAAAAAAAAAAAGAATAATAAGTTCATCATTGTAATTATTGTGTTGGGGGGGGACAGCCTTAGATGTTTTTAAATCCTATTTTCTCTGTATATAGTGTTGTTAAGACGGTGGAAACCCATACTTGAAAATGTGCTTTTCTTTTTGTTTTGTTTTGTTTTCTAGGATGGGTTTGTGGAGTTCTTCCATGTAGAGGACCTAGAAGGCGGCATCAGAAATGTGCTGCTGGCTTTTGCGGGTGTTGCTGGAGTAGGAGCTGGTTTGGCATATCTAATAAGATAGCCTTGTAAGTGCAATAATTGACTCCTAACCAACAACAGCAACCAGAACCACATTCGTCTGTGAAATCAAATGTATTTATGAAGTTGGACTTAAGCTGTCCTAGGCTGTATGTAACTTGCAAAAGCAGCCTACCCAGAAAAGGAAGTGGCAAGAGGAATGTGACTTACAAGAATAAATACATGGGAAAAGTGGTCCCCCTTGATTGAAGAGTCACTTTCTGAAAGAAGCAAAGTTCAGTTCAGCAACAAGCAAACAGGCCATGGAGGAGGACTTTTAGATGTAGTGAAGACAGTAGGGTGGAAAGACATTTTCCTTATTTAGACCAGGAGTGTGGCCAGTAGTTGGACTAGTCATAGAATTCATTAAATATGCCCACAAATTAGTTCATTTCCTATAGTGTTAAAAAAGAAGCACTAACAATGCCAGTGACCCGTATAAAAGTGGATTTAAGCTACAAGTAATAGAACTATGACTAGAGCCTCAGTACTGTACAACAGAGTGTGAAGGGAAGCTTTTCCTAGTAGGCTTTCCAGGTGTAATTCTTGAAGAATAGAAAGTTCAGGCATTCAGGACTTCTAAACCTGTTGTACCTTAGCTTTGTTTGAACGATTCTTAGTTTATTAGCCTAGTAATAGCCAAGAATACTTGGTGTAGGTCCTAATATTGTCTGTAAAAATTGTATATATTTTTACAGAAAGTCTATTTCTTTGAACAATAAAGGGGGGGATCTCAAATTTAGTTTTTTTCATACCCTTTTGAATTTTGCAACTTCTGTAGTTAGGAACCTATTTCTTACAACTTTTCTATGCTAAACTTTGTCTTGCTAGAGTGTGTACAGAACCAATTGATGTAATTGTATGAAACCTAGTTGTAGTGAAACAAAGCTGATTCATAACTATGCAGGCTTTAATTTTCCTTTCTGACTTTGGTAAGTATTCCATAAATAGGCTTTTCTTTGAAAACCTGCGATTGAGTGGTTGAAGAATAGAAATTAATCCTTTCGCTTTGTTATAGGTAGGTTTTCAATAATTAGGTCAAAGAGGTATTTTTAAGGTGGGGGGGAATGGATGACTTACAAATAATGGGCTTTGATTGGGCAGCAACTATTTTGAGTTCCTTTCATTTGACCTAATTTAACTGGTGAAATTTAAATTTGAGTTCATAAGCTAATCTTTGAAGCTTTTACTGAAAGATTTTTTTAAAGCTATTCCAAAGGGGACTTACTGTGTGTAAAAAGATCATATCAGGTGAATGGATGAGATATTTGATCACTTGTTTGCATAATAAATTGTAAAATTATGGCTTGGAAAAGCAGGTTAGAGTCTAACCATGGTGCTATTATTAGGCTTCCTTGTTAAACACAGGTCTAAGCCTAGTATGTTAATAAAACGAATACTTACTGTTTCATTTCTGTTCATGATTCCCAAACTTTGTTTCAGATTTTTCCATTGGCATGTCTTTGGATTTCAGATTTGATGTTGTCAGACTTACCTTTTATTTCCTATTCTTCCTTGAAATACTAGCTATTTATTCTCCTGCTACAGATACTTAACATTAGTCTATACTTCACCCTGCCATTCCTGAACTCTTATTAGCCCTTTTAGATTTTGGCACTGTGAACACTGGGAACCTGAGTGACACTTCCCTCCCCCCAGGCGAAGTCAACCGACCTTCATCTTTCATGAATTTTGTCCTGTTGGAAAGTGGTTCAAAACCATGAATGCTCTGACAGTAGTAACAGTCTGAGGAAGTCCTTCTTCCTTGGACTGGTACCTGTTCAGTTGTTGCTTTTTCCTATCTTTGAGGATAAGGTTCTTTAGGAATTTCAAAGGAGGACATCTTAATGTAGTTTTCTCTCTACAGCTTCTTTGGTATTTCAATATGCTCACTTAAATTTACAGAAAGTTATATAAAAAGCTACTGGTAAACTGAAGAAAGCTCCTGTATTGTAACTAGTGCCATTTGAAAGCTTCGCCCTCAGAACGTGATCTTTAGTCTATTGGACTCCAGATAAAAATAGGCATGAGTAAGATGACTAAGAATGTAATGGGAAGAATTTCCTTGCCAGCCCATCTTGGAGCCATAGGTCATCTTACTAGAGCTATTTTTACCTATATATTTATCATTCTTGATCATAAACCACTTATTTATATCATGTCTTATCTCTAGGGACCTAAAAGCACTTTATGTAGTTTTAATCTTAAGATCTGGTTATGGTTATGGCCTGTCTCCCCAATCCAGTTGTGGAAATAAGCACATAGATGTGCATTGGTATTTAGGGGCCCTTCTTAACTCACTAGTATGGCTGATGGAATACAGATGAGTATTTTAGTTGATATTTGGGGTTTAGGGCAGCTGAAGCTTAGGGACCCCAAGTAGTTTGGGATAGGAGGGCAGACAGTTGGTTTAGGAAGAGGAGACACGTGGTCTAACTGCTGACTGGCTATATAATTCAGGCAAATCCTCCAAAAGGCAAAGGGGAGGGGCTGCTTGGAAAGATGGCTTTCAGCAAATTCTGTTTTGTCTTATGCTTCTCTCAGGGAAAAACATGCAATCCTCTAGTGTTCATGTATTTTCTGGGGGGTGAACACCTTGGTTCTGGTTAAACAGCTAGTGCTTCTTATAGCTGTGCCAGGAAAGGTTAGGACCAACTACAAATTAATGTGGGTTGTAAAATGTAGTGTGTTTCCCTAACTTCTTTACCTGAGGGGGGGGAAAAATCAATAAATCTTTTATTCAAATACAACGTGTGGTATGGATCTTTTCTAATCAACCCCTGCCTTCCTCTTCTCAGACTTTTTTGAGGGAAGTCAGCTGAGTAGATATGCAGGTGTATTAACAAAAACAAAGGCCTGGCCAAGCTGATTTATCTCAGTGCAAAGGACAGTTCCTTTCCTTCCAATTAGAAGTGTTGGGTTTTTCTTAAACAACAGGGAATTATTTCCTCTCTGTTCTGGGGGTTGGGCATAGGTCAGATGTATTTTTTTTTTTTTTTTTGAGACGGAGCCTCAAGCTATCCCCCTGGGTAGAGTGCCATGGCATCACGCTCACAGCAACCTCAAACTCTTAGGCTCATGTGATTGTGATTCTCTTGCCTCGGCCTCCTGAGTAGCTGGGACTACAGGTGCCCACCACAGTGCCCAACAATTTTTTTTTTTTTTGGTATGAGACTGGGTCTCTGGCTCAGTCTGTTCTCAAACCCATGAGTTCAGGCAGTCCACCCACCTGCCAAAGTGCTAGGATTACAGGTGTGAGCCACCTCACCTAGTAGGTGTTGACTTTCTAATTAAACATATTACTTGTGTACTGTTTTTTTGTTTTTGCCTGAGACAGTCTAATGTTGCACTCCGTAGAGACATATGGTAGCATCACAGTTCACAGCAACGTCAAACTCTTGGGCTTAAGCTATTTTCTTGCCTCAGCCTCCCAAGTATCTGGGACAGCAGACACCTGCCATAACACCCAGCTATTTACTTGTATACTTTGTAATAATTCCTTTACATTTTAGTATCAAATGAAAATCCCTGTCCTAAGTTACTGAGTGTTCGTGTAATTTTGAAGTAAGAGGGTTCACTACAGCAGTTGCATCTCACCTCCACTTAGCCTTTTGAGGTGAAGTAGCTAGAACACTTAAAGTTGTTTTAGATACTGTTACAGTGCTTTTTCCTCTGCCCTTTTCCAAAAACAAGGTGAAAAATCAATTGCAGAAACCATGTGGTAGGCGGGCACAGTGGCTCAGACTTGTAATTCTAGCACTCGGGGAGGATGTGGTAGATGGATTTCTTGAACTCAGAAGTAAAAGACCACCCCAAGCAAGAGGGAGACCCCATCTCTACTAAAAATAGAAAAACAAGGCTCAGCACCTGTAGCTCAGCGGCTAGAGCTCCAACCATGTACACCAGAGCTGGTGGGTTCGAATCCAGCCCACACCTGCCAAACAGCAATGACAACTACAACCAAAAAAAAAAAAAAAAAAATAGCCGGGCGTTGTGGTGTGTGCCTGTAGTCCCACCTACTCGGGAGGCTTGAGGCAAGAGAATCACTTAAGCCCAAAAGTTGGAGGTTGCTGGGAACTATGATGCCATGGCGCTCTATGAGGGCGACATAGTGAGACTGTCTCAAAAAAAATAAGTTGTTGCCTGTGGCTCAGTGGGTAGGGTACCGGCCCCATATACTGAGGGTGGTGGGTTCAAACCCGGCGCCAGCCAAACTGCAACAAAAAATAGCTGGGTGTTGTGGGCGCCTGTAGTCCCAACTACGCAGGAGACTGAGGCAGGAGAATTGCCTAAGCCCAGGAGTAGTTGGTTGCTGTGAGCTGTGACACCACGGCACCCTACTGAGGGGAGATAAAGTGAGACTCTGTCTCTTAAAAAAAAAAAAAAATAGGATTCGGGGCCTGTGGCTCAAGGGGCTAAGGCGCCAGCCACATACACCTAACGTGGCGGGTTCGAATCCAGCCCGGGCCCAAACAACCAAAAAATAGC